TGCACCAAGTTTGGGGAGCGCAGCCGTAAAGAGTCGTCAGGTTGAGATTCTTGCGCTCAGATGTGATCTCTTGAGTTACACTGACGCCCTTGGACGTGTTGAAGGCCTTGGCCTGGCTACCAACGGCGTGATACTCGAATGTCAGAGTGTTCCTGGAAAAGCTGTTAGTGTTCTGCAAAATGTCAGTCTCACTTTGATCTTACCAGTCCAGGTAGCGACGGAAGTAGGTCATGGTGGAGTTGCCAGTCGCCGAGGCAGGGCTGCTCGAGGACGTTGTCGTAGCCACAGCAACTGCCTTCTGGGCAGGATGAGGGACACCCTTGGGATATACCGCGCCCTTGTAGTTGTCGGACTTGATGCCAGACATGGAAAGGAAGCCCAGAGTCTCGCAGTACCTTCCGGACTCGAGAGCAGTCGACTTGTCGTCGTAGACGGCGAAGTCACGGATGTGAGTGTGTCCACCGAAGAACTGAACAGGCGTGTCAGGCTTGATGGCGCGGATCGCGTCAAAGACAGTCTTGAGCGTGCTGCTGCTCTGGGTTGGCCGAACAGGGTTGTGGCCGATGACCAGGTAAAGATCAACAGGCTCGCTGTAATCGACGGCGCTCAGAAACCATGGCTGCTTGACCATGGTCGCGGCCTTGGTGACGACCGAGGCATTGGAGTTGCCGGTGAAGTCAAAGAGAACGCCAAACGCCATGATTCTGAGGCCTGAAAAACTCATTAGAATCTGGGGTAACGGTAATTGCGTCTCATAAGAGCAACTTACCCTTCGGCGTGGTGAAGTAACGATACTGCTTGCCAATGTACTCAAGCGCGCCCGTGCTGGGGTTGCGAATTTGGACATTGCTGGTGACGTATCTGTCACCATAGACCTTGGCGAACTGACTGAAGGTCTCGTATGCGATGCTGGAAATGTACAGCTCGTGGTTACCAATGGCCAGCACATCGTAGTCGATGTTCTCGAAAATGGGGTTCGAAATTTGGCCATTGACACCGGTGCCGTTCGCGTAGGTGGAAACACCAGTGGCGTCGCTGAGACCTGCGCCGTCATGCAAATCCTAATTTTGTCAACATCATTGCGCCGAGAATGAGATCGCTTCTACATACTCCAGTGTCGACGACCAACAAATCAACGTCGAGGTCTTCGGCCTTCTGGCGCATGTGCTTGACGAAGCTTACGAAGTCACCCCAGTCGGCTCCATAGTTCTGCTCACGGATGTGGCCTTCCAGCCTGGATAATTCAGTCAGTGGGTGAACATGGAGTTTGTCGCTGAAGGACGAACCAGCCGTGAGTATCTAGACCGCCAATATCAGCATGCATGTTCTCAAACTCGTATCATTGAACGCGACGTACCAGTCGTATGGAGAAAGTTCAATTGACCCCACGACAGAGGGCCGCGAGGGGCGACTGCAGCAGCCTGGGCATCAGGTTGTGCCCTGCGAACATGTCTCGTCAACACCACATCCCTCTCGGGGTGTTCGCAGCTATCGCAAGCCAAGACCGGGGTGGTGATGGCAAAGCCAAGCGACGCCAAGATGGTATTCGTAAAACGCATCTTGAGAACTCTAAAACGACCGATCCAATGAAAGAACGAGTCAGACCTCGCAAAAGAACGAGAGGAAAACCGACGGCCACCTGGAGATGCAAGCGTTTCCCGACGGGCGGGTGTTGCATGCAGCCAAGCTTTTAAGAGGATGCAGCTCCCGCGCAAACAAGCTTTTCTTGGCGACCGCCGCCCGCCGGTATCTTTGCACTCATCATTCCGCGCTGACGCGGCGAGCCGATAAACGCTCATCCATGTGGCGGCCGAAGTCGCATTGGCTATCATCCAGAGAATGAGATTGCCCGGGCACGTGGGGGGGATCAGCATTCATGAATCGATGCTACTGAGCTTCCTATTGCTGTCTAGCGCGGCCAATATCCGCCGTCAGCGACCCGCACCGTATCTCGTGTATCTGCCGTTATTGCCGGTGGCCACTGAGCGATTGCGGCCAAACCACGGGAAATAACGAATGTGATGTTTTGGAAGTAGTCCCTTGGACGCTTCGAGATGCGGAGTAGTTTATTGATTATGACGCTCGCAAGTTCTTGAGGCTCTTTAGAGTACCGTCGCTGTGTTGATGAACATGAGCCGCCGCGGTGGTGCCCACTCATACCCCGGACGTTGAGATTCGCGACTTCGCGGAAATTGTCAAGATCCACCTATCGCTAATTATTTCTTAATACTCGCCGTCCTTATCGATTCAGGTAATACCGTAATCAGGATTCGTTGATGATGGCGCGCTTTTTGAATGGCGCACTCGCATTCAAACGCTTTTGACACTCCTTTTCGAAGTCATCGAAAATTCATTCGACAAGCTCTCAGGCTTGGCCAAAGGCGCGCTGCAAACGCTTTAGCCGTGAGCTCGGACGTACCGATGATCTGGATAGCCTGGAGAAGTATCTTTGCTCAGAAGATCAGACAATTCGCCGCGCGGTTTCAACATAAAAGCTGCGTGAGCACGAATCTGTGGGAGAAAACTAGCCCAAGTCAAAGTTTCACCTTCCAGGTAGTTGCCCATAGAAAAGTCCTTGTAGCTTGAATTGAGCATCGCATTACACCACTAACTCAATGAATGCAAAGACCAATGTCGTGGGTTCTGCTGGGCCTGAATTAACTGTGACTTGCAGAGACTCAGAAGGCGTTTTACTGAGACTGTGATCGATGGTAACATATGGATTTTGATTGTGAATAAAGCTATCAGAATTCGACGACTGAGTGAAAACACGATAGTGTTGTGATATTACTACCAGACAATCAGTAACAGGAATTCACGAGCATCACTTGCGTTCGCAGTTTGATGAACATTGCAAGAGAAGCCAGTCTCGATATGCGCCTCTGTGGCACAGTTTAGGCAGAAACTGCCAGATTCTCGATTCTTGTACAACTTGAGACTGACTCTCCAGGCAACAACGGCTTTTGACAAGGATGAGAGCTGACGGTGGCACCAACGAAGCGTGCTGTTGATTGGCACCGGAATTATCGGGCGAGATCCGATTCGCCTCAACTCTAAAATCGCACATATCTCAACATCGTGAACATGCAACATGCAGGCGAAAAGAAGTGCAGATTGCTGCGGTTTACCTTCCACATTTGGCGTTCTGACTCAAGATACTTTCAAGGGATGGTGTGGTTTCGACTGTGGGTGGTTGCTTGACATTATTGGGATCAGAAGTAGACTTGAAAAGTCTCTGGCTTTCTGCATATTTAACACAATCCCGTGTTCCATTTCGCAAGACACCCGTTTCACCAACAACCCCACACGAAGTTACAACTAGTTATCGCTTCCCGCCATGAATCACGAACACTTCCAAGAGCGTCTTGATTTCGTCAGGAACACGGTGGTCGGATTCAGTCTCGAGGTACGGACAACCAACTGCTTTTGCTTTAAGAGCTCAGCTCATTGATAAAAAACACAGCCCACCGAGATTACGCCTGTGGAATATCAGGAGGACGTCCCGTTTCCCTACAACAACTTCATCTACAAAATCGTTCTAGCCAAACCAGCCACGCAGAATGCATTTCTCAACGCTGGCGCGTACACCACGCCCCTACCGGAGGGAGGCGTCTCAACAATTATCATGCGGCTGGCTAATTCCAAGGCCACGGATATCATCCAAGACAATCGCATCGAAAACGAAGTTGCTGCGATGTTCCTTGCCCGCCAGGGCCTTCAATCATTCAAGCCTGAAGTTGCTGGACTCATCCCGGCCATCTACGCCTGGAAGCCAACTCAAGACGCCGACAATGGTTACAGTTGGACCATGATGGAGCTCAAGGAAGGCGTTCCGCTCGACACCAAGTTCAAGGATCTATCAGATGATGAGAGAAACATCGTACTTGGCCAGATTGCGGACGTCTTTACCGGCATCCAACGAGCGCCGTTGCCCGATACCATTACCTCCCACGGTGGGTTAACCATCAGCGAGTCTGGAAAGATTGTAGGTGGCAAAATGACCATCCTCGAAGGAGCTCCATGGAACTCGTACACCGAGTTTTGGAGGTGCAAGTTGGAGTCTAGCCTGCACGATGCCGATAGGAGCTCGAATCTCCAAGGTTGGAAGCCGAACGGCGTTCGTCAACGCATTGACAAATTCATATCCTCCGGGCTTGGTCCGTATCTTGCCAGCGCTGGAGTCGACGAGACCCAACGTGTGCTTATTCATGGCGATCTCAGTAAGTCGAAAGCAAGCTTTAGGCTTCCGGAAGGATGGTGTGTGTTGACTCGAGCCCTAGCCACCAACAACGTGCAATTCGACCCCGAAACTAGACGAATCACAGGAGTCCTTGACTTTGACTGGGCCTACGTCTCGCACCCCGCCCACGAGTTTTTCACCTCTTTTGGAGACATTGGGGGCAGCACCAACGGCGGCACCGCACGGGACCCAGACTTGAGCGATGGCAAAATTGCCAAAGCAATGCTGGCAGGGGATTTCAGCATTCCCAATCTGCCAGAAGGGGCACTTGGGCAGCTTGCGAGAGCGAAGGCATGGGATGATGCGCTGGCTGAAAGAGGAGCATTGAGGCCAAGCGAGATCCCTGGCATGACCGCGATCGAACAGCTTAGAAAGTTGGAAAGCCTGCTTGCCCCATTTGCGTTACACCACCCTGTCATGTTGAAGAGAAAGACAGCGGAGCAGATTGTGGAGATGCGGACTGCTGGTGAGAAGGAGTTGATTGAGTGCCTGGAGCGGTTCGGGTATTGATACAATGGGGCAGGTTCATGGCAACGTTCTTTTGGAAGCCACAAGGCTCACAATAAATAGTCATATTTAAAGATTGAAGATCTCACAAGGGACCTGAGTGTGTTGATGGCTGTGGGCTTGTATTGTGCCAATCCTGGTCCTGGTCAAACTTGCCCCCACTTGAGGTCCACGAGGGCTAAACCCACGCAACATATTCCACATTTCTGCTCGAGTGCTCACACCAGCCCACCACGGCTGAATCAATTCAATCGGTCTATTAGTCTAGTTGGTTAGGACGTCGGATTCTGATAATCTCAGAGCTTTCCGTAAGCCCAGGTTCGAATCCTGGATGGACCTTTCTTTTGCTTTTTGGACTTCCCTAGTGCATACAATGATGCTTCAGGGGAAGGAGGACTCTCGTAAGGTTTGTATATGGATAAAGAAGTTGCCTCCCCCGTGTTTTATCTCTTTGAAGTGTCTGATTGGGCAGGCGTATATACATCTGTGTACTCAACCTCACGGAGGACGAAACAACTTGACCATAAGTTCATCATCAGACTAAGTATGAAGAATTCAAGAGGGAAGGAAAGTCCTCAACTGAAGATGCTCGGGCTCAGATCGAAAGGACCTGCGACAGAGGCAAGTCTCGGCTGCTCCCGCCCACAAACACGGTATAATCGCCCTCCTGAAGAGTCCATTTCTGAGCCACGACATCCCACACACTCAGATCCCGCCTTGTCAACTCGAACTGCAGGTCCGCACCCTGTCCACTCTCAAGGGCCACCTTCTCAAACCCACGAAGCTGTTTCGGCGGACTGTTCGGAATGGCAACATACAGCTGCGCGACTTCCTCTCCCGCGCGGGACCCCGTGTTGTTCAGCGTGACGTGGATGGTTGCGACGATAGACCATAAGGCATCAGAGTTCGCCGCAAAGCCTGCCTGCGTATCCTGCTTCTTGATTGAGATTGACGAGTACTCGAAGCTGGTGTAACTCAGCCCATACCCAAACTCGTATCTCGGAGTGACGTTCTTGGCATCGAAGTCGCGGTAGTCAATGTAAACGCCCTCGGTGAAGTCGCACTGCGGACTCGTCGTGTTCGTCTCACCGCGCCCGCAGGGCTTGTAGACAGAGTAGTCGCTCTCGTTCTTGGCGAGAGTGTAGGGGAGCTTTCCGGAGAAGGAGGCCTCGCCGTAGAGGAGCTGGACAAGCGCTTCGCCGCTGTCTTGGCCAGGAAGGTGGGCGATGACGGTGGCGGTGACGTTGGGGTGGTCGATCCACTGGTCGACGAGGCGGATGCCGGCGGCGTGGATGATGACGATGGTGTTGGCGCATTTGGAGGCTACGCTGAGGACGAGACCGTCGCTGAAGTCGTCATGGAGGCCGTCGCGGTCCCAGCCTTCCGTTGCCATGGCGTTGATGAAGACGAGGCAGACGTCGCTGGCGGCGTTGACGTCGGGATTGGGAGATGTGAGGTCCCAATTTACCCAGCTACCGTCTTTGGCTGCTCTGTGCTGGATGGAGCTGAGGGGCTGCGATGGGTCAGTTAGATCCGATGATGCTTGGAGAGGTCTGGCTTACATCGAGGATATAAGACGGCGCGTTGGCGGCAGCGCGGCCTCCACTGACGATGGTTCCTCCCTTGGCTGCTTGGTCGAAGTGTCTTTCCGTGCCTAGCACGGCCTGGCCCATCTCTGGAGAGGAGTAGTAGCCAAGCTCAAACAGCTTGTCAGTGTTCTTCGTGTCGGGTACCGTAGCATCATACCCAAAGACCGAGATCATGTTGGGTGCTTTAGCGAAGGGAAGGGCATTGTTCTTATTCTTCACGAGGACGTGTCCGGCAATTGCGCCCTCGAGAATGTTTGACCTCGAGTCTGGGTCGCGAGCATCGACTTGCTCGTGAGGCTCCGTGAGATTCTTCATACCAATCCCGGGAGTGGGGAAGTCTGAGTCCTGGCCAACAAGGTACCAGGCCGCAAGAATTCTGGAAGAGGTTAATGACGTCTCTTGGATTGTTTGAATTGGGATGAATTACCTTGTAGCCATATCCGTCACTCGAGACTCGGCGACGGTACCGTTGTTGACAGCATCAGTCAAGTTCTGACCAAAACTTCCCCCAAGAGGCATGACCATGTCCAGACCAGAGTTGGCACTCTGAAGGTTGTGCTGCGCATTCCAATCCAGGAGGACAAAGCCGTCAAACTCAAGCTCGCCCTTGAGGACACCATTCATGAGTTTGCTATTTTCGCAGCCATAGGTGTTGTTAATCCTGTTGTAGGAGCACATGATGGATGCAGCACCGGCCTTGACACCATCGACAAAGGGCCAGAGGTAGAACTCATGCAGGGTCTTGTCGTCGATGTTGGACGATGCGGCTTCGACACCAAAGTATGGCCTTCTGTAGGTTTCTTGCTCGTTTCCGATGAAGTGCTATCGAGCAAGGTCAGGAACAAGTTTTTTTCTTCTTATTTTTCCGCAATTTGAGCGTAAATACGCACCTTCAGGTTGGCAATGACACCGGCATCTTGGTGACCAATGATAGTCTCCGCGTTGAGCTGTCCCGACAAGTACGGGTCAACCGAGAAACCCTCTTTGCACGAGTTTAGTATGGATACGAAACTTGCAACTGAGATGAGTGTTTCTTACCCCAGTTCCTGCCACCCAGAGGTGATCTTCCAAGAGGACCTGCATTAGGTCCCAGTAGAATATTTACTGAGTAAACCGTCAATCACCTCCTCAAATTAGAACTTGTCGGTTACCTTGCACTCACCTCCCTTAGTCTTGAACTCCTTTCCCATCCAATATCCACGGTGATAAGTCAAGTTCTTGTCCCAAGTGGCGCCGATGTGCAAAGCTGAAGGATACGAGTTGACCAGGTCGGTCGCTCTCACGCCATTGCCTGCGTCATGAAGGCACATCCCAGGCCACCCCAGCCGCGGGATTGACCCGGTATTGCCAGCACAAACATTGTCGCTCGCAAACCCACGTGTAATATTCACCTTCTCCTCCAGGGTCAATTGGTCTACTAATTCGCGCGCGCTGGCGTACGCATCTTTCCAGACACCTGATCCCTTCCCAGATGCTATTTCGCAATTACGTCAGTTGTTGATTTGTTGACGCGCACAGGGCTGTTGGACGGGCAACAAGACTTACGCGACGGGTAAACCTCTGGCGACTGCGCGACGGCTGCGACGCCTGTCGAAAGCGCGAGAAGCTGCGCAAGAGCAGCCAAGCTTCCAGTCGACCACATTCCGAACGGGTTGACTCTCGAAAAGTCGGGTGGTGAGACAAGGCGTCGACCACGATGGCTGTGAGTACCTATGTATCTATGTATGGTCACCGAAGCCCCGTTTAATACGTTATGTAACAACACGGACTTATATAAATCCCCGAAGAGTAGCCGGCTCACCGCTGGTGCGACGATCGAATCGGTGCGTTTCTCGGCCGAGCCAAGGATTCTTTCTTCCAGAAGATCAAGACTTGAAAACTTTACTTCGGGAATTCCATCCTACGTTGCTCAGTCAAGATGATTGATAGGTTTGAAGTGCGGAGTTCCTCCGCAGGGCCTCCACATCGTGAGGAGAAATGGGCAGGATGAGGGGGACGGGGAGCGCTTCCGGGAATACTGCCAGGAACATGACGTCTATCAGCAGGCACTTTGCGGGGGTACCGGCTGACCGGGGTGGGGGAATGGTAGCAATTTCGTCCTCCGGGGATGACCGGGTCACCTTCAACACCAACCGGAAGCGAAGTTTGTGAGCGTGTGACTACCTACAACTTCATGGGGAATCACGGCATCCGGCCGGTGTGAGATTCGGCGAATCTTTTGGTGTCTAAGCAAGCATCGTGCTGTGGATATGAATCACTGGCTGGAATCTCATCCGGGAGGTTGCCATCGCTAGCATCGGACCGCTCGGCCGGGTTCTTACCTTACTGTGCTCGGATGAGTTCATGGTCCCGAGCAAATCATACATTGGACAGTTGGTGCTACACTAAGTTTCTCCTGGAACGAAACCCAATTCAGCCATCCCACGGGTGCCCCTATTATCTATCGGAAAACCTCTGCTGTTGGGTAGCAGATCGAGACACCCATGCGTTGGTATTTTTGAGGAGGGGAGCTGTTTGCTGTCACGTTCATCGATTCAACATCAAGCTGTAGAACTCATGAAATTTGCTGGGTTGTGTATTGGTAGCGACCTTGCCCAGGATTATTTCCAAAGAAAGTGCTCATTGTTCTCATCAAGTACTGTCTAGACATGCTCCGATCTATATTCTCGTCAATGTCCCCGGGAAATCTTCACGTTCAGGTCTGGCTTTTCCCAAAGCATGAACACCTTCTGTCTTTCAATCCAATCTTGGCTATCCGATTGGAGTTCGAGATCGAAGTTCCAAACCAAATAAGCCAGAATCATGCGCATCTCCGCCCATGCAAGGCTGTCGAAATGGTTAGATATGCGAGGCACAGAATGAGTTCAGGCGACTTTGTGGGATCGCAGCTTACTTCTTCCCCAAACAGTCCCTAGGTCCCACGCTGAACGGTCTCATAGCGTTCCTATCATCCTGCTGGAACTCAACTGGGGCATCTTTCACCCACCTTTCCGGGATAAATTCAAGGGGGCGATGAAAGTTTTCCGCCGACCGGTTGGCCGCCCAAAGGTTCACAGTCAAGCTAGTCTTTGGGGGTAGCCAATGACCCATCACATATCCTCCGGTTTTTGGAGTCACTCGGAAGAGGTTGTCAGGCGCAGGCGGATAGAGGCGCAGCCCCTCTTGAAGAACGGCATTGAGGTATTCGTGTTGCTGGAGCTTGACCAAGGTGAGGTCAGACTCGTTGGGAAAGTCGGTCCGAACAAGAGACGTCAACCTTTCGATGACAGGTCGGTTTTGGCACAGGAGATAGACGGTGCCAGAAAGCATAGTGGCCGCTCAGGTAGGATCAGCCGACGAGTGCTGAGGAAGTACAGGAGACAGGACGGTACTGCAGACTTACTGGTCTCGCTGCCCGCAACGATGAATGTGATTGCCGCTGCTTCAATCTCTGGTTCCGTCATGCTAAGGAATCCGCGTGTCAGCAAAACGGCTGGGAATGCAATGAGCTCATGGTAGCGAGGTACCGTTGTTCGCCCGTCTGGCGAAGAATGTACGACATGAAATCCGGCCGCTCGGTACCGAGACCCATTCGCCTTTTCGCAGCCTTGGCACCAAAAGCGACAGCTGCCCGCTGATGCTTGAGCATCTTTGCTGGAATGCATGCCATCGTAATACGCATGAAGATAGGCGGCAGTCGAGTCAGCTCCCGTATAAAGGTGAAGGCTTTCAGAGTCAAAAAGACCGTTTCCAGCCAGGGATGGAGCCGAT